ATTTTTTTTGGTTTTTCTCCGGTACCGGGAACTGAACTCACGACCTTGCGCTTGCCAGGCAGGCGCTTTTGCCGCTGAGCTAAATCCCCAGCCCCTTTTTTTCAAATTTAAACGGGAGGATTCCTAAACAGACTTTGTCAACAGTATTCTTGGACTGCCTTGCCTCAGGGCTTTAGAAATAGCCCATACTTGTTTGTGCAGGCTTTAGCTCTGAGATACCTAAAATTCAGAAGGGGCCCCTATTACAGTATGTAAATGTAAGCTCTCTTACAGTCCAGGAAGCTCTTAAGACTCTCAATTTTCTAGCGAAAAGGTATTACAAGGTGTCCCAACCTAAGGCTCAGATTTCTCAACAACAGGTGATATGTTTTTGTTTGTTTGTTTGTTTGTTTGTTTGTTTGTTTTCCGGTACCGGGAATCAAACTCATGACCTTGAGCTTGCCAGGCAGGTGCTGTGCCCCTGAGCTAAATCCCCAGCTCCTCTGTGATATGTTTTAACTCCAGGACATGGGCTGGGGATATAGCTCAGTGTCAAAGCACCTGCCTGGCAAGCGCAAGGTCGTGAGTTTGATTCCTGGTACCGGAAGAAAAACAAAAAACAAAAACAACAACAACAAAAACAAACCAAAACTTTGGTTTTTTTTTTGGTTTTTCTCTGGTACTGGGAATCAAACTCATGACCTTGCGCTTGCCAAGCAGGCGCTGTGCCGCTGAGCTAAATCCCCAGCCCCAAAAGTTTTGGTTTGGGGCTGGGGATATAGCTCAGCGGCACAGCGCCTGCCTGCAAGCGCAAGGTCATGTGTTCGATTCCCGGTACCGGAAAAAAAAAAAAAAAAAAAGTGTGGTATATGTTAAGCTTGATATACAGAATTTTATAGTTAGCCACCACATAAACCAAGACACACTAAGAGCTTTATGGGAAAATATTTTAGCTTTTTGAGTTCATCTCCCAGGTGAACAGTGGAAAGAGCACAGGACCCTGAGTCAGAAGACAAGGGTATGAGTCTCCGTTGGGAAAGTTTATGTTCCCTTCCTGGGGCTCACTTAAGCAGTCATTTTACAGCAGAAACAACTAATGGTTGTTCTGAGGGCATGAACTGCTGGGAAACAGGAGGGAGAGCGCAGACTTTTCATTTCATGTGTTTAAATTCAGAACTGTCCTACACAAAATTCTCTTCCATCTCCTCCCCTCTCCCCCTTCTCCTTTCCCCTTTGTTTCGTCATCTCATTGTACTACTAGGGATTAAAGCCAAGGCCTTACACATGGCAGGCAAGCACTGTACCCGTGAGCTATATCCCCAGCCCTTTTTATTTTGAGACAGGATCTCACTGAGTTGCCAAGGCTGACCTCAAACTTATCCTCCTGCCTCAGCCTCCCAAGTAGCCATTGTTTCTGTTTGAATATATTCTAATTCTACTCAATAGACAATTTCCAATAAATTAAATTAATGTGGCTCTAAACTCCAGTGCTTTTATCTAAATTCCATAATGCTTTAATCATCCTGCAAATTCACATATTAATAAATTAGAACAGTGTAGTTTTATTCAACAGTTACTGAAAACCTACTATGTACCAATAATTATTGCCAAATTGTATTTGTAATGATTTTCTAGACATAGTCCTCACTCAGGACTGAAAGTTCTGTGAAGAATTTGACCTGAATGTGTTCCTGCCCCCAGGTCAGTGGTTCTTAACTTTAGGGGGCATAAGAATCACCTGGGGAGATTCTTAAAAATGGATATTCTAGGACTTCACTCCCAGAAATGCTGATTCTAATAGTTCTGGGATGCACCCAAAAATATGCATTTTTTAAAAACTTCCCCAGGGGATTCTGATGCAGGTACCTTAGTGGTATCAGAAGTGCAGCCGTCAGGCTAGACAGTGGGAGTGGCGTCTGTGTCAGTAGTAGCATGGGATAGTGGAAGGACCTAGGATTAGAAGCAGAAGGCCTAGGTTCTTTCTAGTCTTTTTCTACCATTTACTTGTTGTATATGATCCTGAAAAAAATCGTTTCACCTCCCTTTGAGAACATGAGGAGATTGATTTAGATGATTCCTTATGCCTGTTTAAATTATCAGTTTGTCATTCTCAGTTTTGAGACTAGACTGTACCAACATCTGTTTCACCTGCAAAAATTAATTGGGCACATGCTACATAAAGACACTGGACTAAACTAGAAGGTGCAAAGAGGATGTGAGATGTGGGTCTTGCCCCACAAGGCCTACAGTATGATAGTAAATATAGTCAGGTATAGGACATAGGCACACATGACAGGATAATAGAAGTTGTGCTTGTCCTCGTGAGCTGAAGAAATGAACCGCTGAGATAAGAGCAGAACTGAGGAGTGGGGTGACCAAGGATGATTTCATGAAGACTGAGATACATATATATACCAGGCTTTCAAGGACGTTGCCCAGGACGGGGGTGACAGTGAGTGATCCCCTCACGTAAGATATGTCATCGTCTTATATACGGTCATCTGATGGTAGTCATGGCAGTAAAAGCACCTTTACTCTCAGGCTGAAAGAGTGTGTTTTGTTTTTCAACAGGAATGTGACCAGGTACATGTGGAAGATGTGGCTTCAGATGACAATGGCCAAGACTTGAGGTGATAAACACAATGATGTTTGAACATCAATACACCTGTTATGTGCAAGATACTACCTGGGTTTAGAGGAAAACACATAAAAACCTCACAATCTGTTAGAGCAGACAGAAGCAAATATAGTTAACCACAGCACACAGTGTGAGAAGGTGACGTTAGCATATGTGAATGGAGAACAGAGGAAAAAGTACTTCTGCTGTGATAAGGGAACATGTGGTGACACCATTCCAGAGGCCTTCTGAGGGGAGTGACATTCGTACAGGACCTCAACAAAGGGTGGCAGCAACGGGGTGAAGAAACACCTTTCCGAAGTAAAGGTTGTGCCGCTTCTGTTGAGGCGTATTCTCAGTCAGGAGGTAACGTGCTTCCAGACTGGGTGGCTTCAGATGCAGATAAACATCAGGAATTTTGTCGAGGACACTGACTGGGAGTCTGATGGTGTCAGGAATAGTGGAAGACCGTCTTAACCATTGTACTGTTGTGAAAATTAAACCAAAAAAATCTCAGTGACATGTTGCTTGCTCAGCCTCCTCACTCCTCCCCGGACTATAGAACCAGTAGTATTAGCTAACAGTTACTCAAAAATGTATCTGCTTTATACTTAAAGACCGTTAGGAAGAAAGATTGTCACATACTTTCTTGTTAATTTTCTTTTAAAGTTTTATCCATTTTCATAGGTAAAATATTCTTCCTTGTGATTGTCCTAAAATGAAGTATTCCATCCATGAATTCTCAAATACAAAGCAGAACTGGACGTAGCACTTTAGTAAAGACAAGATCATGTAGTGCTGAGCTTCAAAAGTTTCCCTTTCAAAAGCTGCGTTGAGTTGTGCGTGCTGCTCTTCCCACAGTTATGCAGGGCACCGTTCTTAAGAGATTTTGTTGGTCTTTTTAGGAAGAAGCCTGGTTGAAGCAGTGTATAATCCATTCTGAATCCCAGTTTTTGTGGTTGTTTCTCTTGCACATGTAGCTAGCCAGTAGTTACCCACTTTATTTCTTAGCAGCTTTATTTTCTTACAGAATCTCATACTTAACGCATTGAACTCTATTTTGACTTTGATTCAACCAAATTGTCTCTAGTTCTGTCATTTTTAAATCTGTATTTATGAAGTATTAATCTTTCTCAGTGTACATAGCTATATTAGTTACATGCTGTGTAACAAATTACCCCTATTAGTAGCTTTAGAAAGTTAAATACTTACCATCTCACAGTTACTATAGGTCAGGAATTTGAAAGCAGCTTAGCCCGGGACTTCTTGATCTGGGTCACTCGGGTTGAAATCAAGGTGTTGGCTAGAGCTGGGCTCATCTGAAGGCCTGACTGGAGTGGGACCTGCCTCTCACATGTGGCTGTGACAGGAGGCCCTAATTGCTCACTGTGTGTCCCTCTCCATGAGGAAGCTTGAATGCCCTTCCTCACACTGGCTTCTTCCAGAGCAAGTACTCCAGGAGCAAGCAAGAAAAATCATCTCTGAAATCAAATACTGTCACTTTTATCACATTTGTTTGCATTCCAGTGATAGCCCATTCCCAAGGGGAGCAGAATTAGGAGAGTATCAGGAATTTGTGGCCATTTTGAAGCCACTGCCTATCAGCCATCCATAAGCCCCAAAATTAGCCAACAGATCACTAAAGAAAAACATTTATCATTATCTCCTCACCATTATTAGCATTTTGGGTTATTTCCTTCTATTATTTTTGTCTCTTTTTTATGTAATTATAACATTTGCGTAGTTGTAATCATCAGTTTTATGTTGTTTTTTTCTACTCTATGATATTGTCTGTTCTCTGCATTAATGAAAAAAAAGTGCTTTGTCTTAAGTCAACCTCTAGGGGATGCTGGCGCATGAATTATTTCTACCTCTCCTTCCCTTCTTCCCAGTATCTTTTCTTCCTCCTTTCCGTCTCCCTGCCCTCCCTTTCTCCTACCCCTCCCACTCTCCTTTTCCCTTCCTCTTTCCTCCCTTCTCCTCCCCTCCACAAGAGGATCAAACCAAGACTATGCATACTAAGTACAAGTTCTGCTGAGCTACACCTCTTTCTTTGATGGAAGTAATAGGGGTAACATAGACAACAATTAAACACAGACTGATGTACATAGGCCTCAAACTCAACAGTCCTCCTGCCTCAGCCTCTGGTGTTTCGGGAATGTAAGCATGTGCTACCACATCCACCTTCAGAAGATATTTAAACCACTAGTTTTGTTTATCAGGTGCCAAGAACAGGACAAGAAAATCCTAGGTAACACTTAAAAACCATACGACATACAGATTTTAATTTGTGTTATCCTCCTTGTTGCAGCAACTATAGTTTCTCAACAGATGGTTTCAGCGGGTCTGGTGGCAGCGGTAGCCACGGCTCTTCAGTTGGCGTCCAGGGGGGAGTGGACTGGATGAGGAAACTGGCTTTCCGTTACCGAAAAGTGAGAGAGATCTATGATAAGCACAAGAGCAACGTGGGGGGTAAGTGAGGCGTACAGCCCGCCGATGGCCTGCTTTCCTTTCCCAGGGACGCCTAGAGGCTCTAGGCTGCTGCTTATGAGCTTATGCCACAGTGCTCATGTTAACTCTATGAGAAAAAGGAGGCTCGCTGAGACCCTCTGAGGAAGAATATTGGCGCTTTCAGTGGACTTCAGAATAAATAAAATAATAGAGGAAACTTTGCATTTCTAATTTCTCAGCATAACTTTAGAAAATTATCTTGTTCTCTTTAGACAAATGCCTTTTTTTTTTTGTCACAGAGTCTCACTATGTAGTTCAGGCTGGCCTTAAACTCACGATGTAGCCCACACTGGCCTGGAACTCACAGCGATCCTCCTGCCTCAGCCTCCAAAGTATTGGGATTACAGGGATGCACCACCACACCCAACTGACAGATGTCTTTTTAAAGGAAATGTGTCCCATGGATTATGTTTGATGACTTTTTATTCCTAAGTCACAACCACTGTCAATCATAGTAAATAGGCTACCACATTTTGGCACCTGATTTCTTTTTTTTTTTCTTTTTTTTTCTTTTTTTTCTTTTTTTTTTCCAGTACCGGGAATCGAACTCACGACCTCGTGCTTGCCAGGCAGGCACTGTGCCACTGAGCTAAATCCCAGCCCCGGCACCTGATTTCTTATATCATCAGTACATTTCAGGTAGAACTAGTTATTACATTTGCAGTAGATGGAAAACTCGATTCAGAATTACAGATAGATAATACCCATGTGTTATAATGTGAAAGATCTCAAAAATTGTCCCTGCTTGGAAATATTTCAAATATTAGGTATCAGTGCGCATCAGATTCTCTTCTTTTGGAGTTAATTAATCATAAACCATTCAAATGAGAAGAGAGCTGGGTGTGGTGGCACACACCTGTAATCCTAACACTTGGGAGGCTGAGGCAGGAGGAGGATTATTGCAAGTTTGAGGCCAGCCTGGGCTACAAAGTGAGCTCAAGCCTAACCTGAACTGCATAGCAAGACCCTGTCTCAAAAAGACAAAAAAAAAAAAAAAATCAAATGAGAAGAGATATTTGGGATCTGATCTAAACACCTCATTGGATAGTTAAGAAATTAGTATCCATCATGTAGGAGAAAGGGCATCTTACCCACTGTCACATGGCAAGTTAGTGGCTGTGCCCCATCTCCTGACTTTTGGTCCAGTGCGCTTTACTTTCACTCAGCTCGTTTTTTTGGTGAGGTGCCGTTACGAGAAAATACTTAAAATTGTGAACCATCACTCTCAAACATACATATACACAAAATGTTACCTGAAGTCTTGAGGATTGCCAGGTCAGTAGCCTACCACAGTAGTACTCTACCATGTTGCCTTATAGTATGGTGCAGAAAGTAGGAACAGGCCTTTGAAGTTCAATCTTGTTCATTCCTGTCATAGCCCTCTAATACCAGATAAAAATGGTGGACTTTCAGGTTTGGGAAATCTAATTCACTTTCTTCAGATTCCTCTTTTTTTTTCTTTCCTTCTTTTTTGGTACTGGTAATCAAACGCAGGACCATGCACTTGCCAGGCAGGCAGTGGGCTTCTGAATGATATCCCCGGCCCTAGATTCCTCCTATTATCATTTATTTCTTCCCATGCCTCAGCTAGTGCTTATTTTTTATTTCCAAGTCTTTTTACTTTTCTTCTGTCACAGGCATTGGCCTTTTTTTAGTTTTCTTATACAACCCAAGCCTGTGATCCTTTCCCTGCCTAGTGCTGGCTTTCTGGAGAAAATGATGTAACCTCTGAGTCTTCTGGGCCCACTATGGGAAGAAAATTAAAAATAATGTTTGTACGTTCTGTACAGCATAAAGTAACAAAAACACGTCCTATATAAGTTAAGTATATGTATTGTTTTGTTGCTTTATCCAGAATGTTAAAGAGATGCTTGATTCTAGGCTTACATTGTGCAGCTATAAACTTGAATTATAGTCCCAGTGTCTTCCTCACAGAAATACCTTCAGTTTTTATGGAGTATTCTTTTTTTCCTAATTTTTTAAAATTCATTTTAAAAATAAAAGAAGGAAAATGTATTAACAAACAGACATCCATTTACAAAATAGCATAAGAGCAATACAGGCAGTACTGAGTTACAGACAAAGTGGTAGGAAGTTAACAGTGGTTGTTGTATCACTAGGGAGTATTCTTTTAAACTTTTGACTACAGAAAAATTCAGAGCCAGACTTACTGTTTGTGTCTAACAAGATATTCCGGTCACATGACTTCAGTTTTATGCTTAGTTGTCTAGTTTTAGATGGTGCTTTAGTCTCCTTATGAGCTGGAGTCATTTCCTAAGTACAGTGCAGGGCATTGGTCATCCAGCCTGGACTCTTGACTGACAGGTTCCAAAGCAGCTGGAAGGAAGTACAGTTACCAGCACGTTATATGTGGTAGTAGAAAGACTAACCTCCTAACTTACTGCATAAGTGTCAGGTGGGGCCCTTTTTCTCTGTGGGCTTTGATTTCTTTAGAAAGGAGAAATGCTGAGAACTCTTTCAGCTGCAGCATTCATATCTCCGTCCTTGGTTCTTAAAACAGTGCTACTCAAATGTGGACCTTAAGTTTGCAGATCATACTAGTGATAAAAGAAGCTTGTACCAGAACCCAATTATAATGTTTCTGCCCGCTCACCTTTCGATTTTTTTTTTCTTGTGGTACTGGACATTGGAGTCAGACCTTGCTTATGCTAGGCAAGCGCCCAGCCACTGATAGATTTTTATTTCATTTTGAGACAGGATTGCACTGTGTTGCCCAGGCTGGCCATAAACTTGCAATCCTCCTGCCTCAGCCTTCTGAGTAGCTGGGATCGTAAGCATGTGCCACATACCTGACTACTAGATGATCTTGTTGCTGCAAGTGTGTTCCCATAGCAAAACTTTTTGTTTGGTTTGTTTGTTTGTTTGTTTGCAGCAGGGTCTCACTATGTAGTGCAGGCTGGCTTAGAACTCACTTAGGTAGCCCAGGCTGGGGTCAGTCTCCTAAGAGCTAGGATTACAGGCATGCTCCTCCATACCCAGCCCATAGCAAAACATTTTGATGAAGAAAGTCAAAATAGCATTTTGAGTTGCGTTATTATAAGATTTTCCCAAGAAGAGAAATGTATTGCTTAGGGACTTAACGCTGTTTCTAAATTGAATTTATAAGTTGCTTTATCAGTCTCAGCACGTATACACTGTCAGATAATGAATGTGTCTGCTTTTATTCCTGAAGGTCTCCTCAGTCCCCAGAGAAAGGAAGCACTGCAGAGACTAAGAGCAGAGATAGAAGTTTTAACAGACTCATGGTTGGGAACTGCATTAAAGTCCTTACTTCTGATCCAATCCAGGTATGGAAACGGTTCTTTTTAGGTCTCATCTTCTCAGAGGCACACTCTTTCCTAGCCAGTCCAAACTAGACCATTCTCTAAAGGTAGAGCTTGGAATAGAGGCAAGAGGTGTTTAAATGCTTCAGAGATGTGTTTAGGTGAGAAGCAAGGTCATTTTATGATATCAGCACGCATGAGAGTTTTAAGAGAAAATTTATACCTGAAACCCTCTTTCTTTCCCTTTATTTTTTGCTCACAAACTAAAATTTTAATCTAGGAGGTGGAGAATCAAAGAATACAAGCAGAACACGTATCACAAATACCCTAAATTACAAGAAGCTTCAAGATACTACTCCAGCCTACTGGAGAAGGGAAAATTCAAAAGAGAAGGGCGACATTAGACAGATAACGGTGATTTCACCCTAAAGGTAGACTGAGAAATAAATGCAGCCTCTGTGTGTCAGTCCCCTGTTCTCTCCCTCGAAGCAAGTGTTCGAGATTCTCTCAAAGCCTCATGCCCAGTAAAGCTGACACTGAGGGGGTGAATTTTGTGGAATTACTATATATATTCTGCAGTCTCCGTTGCTGTTATGTGAACATCAGAGAGAACTTAAATTCTATCATTTATGGGCTAAACTGCATTCAGATTAAATAGAACCATAATTGAGAACTGTGTTATTTGCTTTCCAAAGTTTGATATCAGTGACATGAGTTAGTGTATTGGCTACCAAGTTGCAATAAGCTAGGATTGTCTGAAGGGAAGTAAGGCATGAATTAAGTTGCCTTATTTAACTCAGGGTCCACTAAGAAACAAACAAAAACAAGATCTGTGCCCTTTAATATGAAAATTAAAATTTTAAGTAATTACTAAACGATAATACCAGGCCCTTTGAGGTTAATTTTAATAGTTAAATCCTAGATTTGGTGCATTTGAATTCTTGTTCCCAGATTGGTTGCATTTCACCATTTTTTTTTTTTTCCCGTACCGGGAATCAAACTCACGACCTTGCGCTTGCCAAGCAGGCGCTGTGCCGCTGAGCTAAATCCCTAACCCCTCACCATTCTTTTCTTTCCCTTCTTACTCCCTTCTAGGAAGAATTGTGTGAATGTTCTGATTACTACCACCCAACTGGTCCCAGCCCTGGCCAAGGTTCTCCTCTATGGACTGGGAGAAATATTTCCTATTGAAAACATCTATAGTGCTACCAAAATTGGTATGGTTTCTGTTCTTCTTCTCATCACTGGCCCTGCAGTAAAACTTTCTACTAATGAATGCATTATGTGCCAGCTGCTCTCTTAGTCACCTTGTGTATGTAGTAAGATCCATATAAGTCTTCTCATGTATCTGATGAGGCAGTGGAGGTTTAGCAGTTACATTGCATGCTCAAGGATTCAGAGCTAGTAAGTTACATAAATGTGCTGCTTTCTTTTATAGTATTTGAAAGAACATAATTTCTAGCTTAGAAATCTACTTTTACCTCATGTCAGATTTCTCTTTCTCACAGGAAGTATGTAGTGTGATAGAAAAAGCACTGGGTTATAAAATCAAAGACTAGCCAAGCATGGTGGTGCACCCCTGTAATCCCAGCGCTCGGGAGGCTGAGGCAGAAGGATCATTGCGAGTTCAAGACCAGCCTGGGCTACAAAGTGAGCTCAAGGCCCACCTGAACTGCATAGTGAGACCCTGTCTCAAAAAGACCAAAATAAATAAATAAATAAATAAATAAAATCAAAGACTAAATTATATACTTAAAAATTCCTATCAAAAAACCAGAAAATAGTGAGTTCGGTTCCCGGTACCGGAGAAAAACCAAAAAAAAAAAAAAAAAAAACCAGAAAATAATAAGTGGGGAGTACGAAAAAATTGGAACTTCTGTGCACTGTTGGGATTATAGAGTGATGCAGCTGCTATGGAGAACAGTATGATGATTGCTCAAAACAGTCAAAATAGAACGATTGGATGATCCAGTAATCCCACTGCTGGGGGGAAATACCCAAAAGAATTGGGTCTCAGAGTCTTCAGTTGTGTCCAACTATCCAGAAGCAGGACATCAAAAAAATGCTTGTACATCCATGCTCATAGCAGCGTTATTCACAGTAGCCAAGAGGTAGAACAACCCAAGTGCCTATCAGTGAATGAATGGATAGACAAAATGTAGTGTTCCATACAATGAGCTATTATTCAGCCTAAAAGAGAAAAACCCTGTCACATACTACAACTTAGGTGAACCTGGAAATAATATGCTAAGTGAAAGAAGGCTGTCACAAAAAGACAAATACTGTGTGATTCTACCTATGTGTGAGATGCTGAGAGCAGTGAAACTCATAGGAACAGAAAGTAGAATAGTGGTTACCGGGATGGGGTAAGTATGGAGTTGTTGTCTAGTGGATCTAGAATTTTAGTGTTGCAAGATGAGAAAGTTCTGGAAATTTGTTGCACAAAAGTGTGAGAATTCTTAACACTATTGACCTCTATGTTTGAAAATGATTAAGATAATAAATTTGTTATATACTTTTTAACCATGATTTTTTAAATTTAAATGTTAAATTAGTGAGTTTCATGTTATCCTTCATTGTAACTCTCTGTGTTGCCCAGGCTAGCCCTAAACTCCTTGACTCAAGCAATCTTCCTGCCTCAGTCTCTCAAGTAGCTGGGACAACGGGCATGTGCCACTGCACCTGGCTGTTATGCTTACTTTGCACAAGTTTTAAAATTTTTTTTAAAAAATTAAGGACCAAGGTTCAAGTCCTGCTTGCTCCTCCACTTTTTGTACCAGGAATTGAACTCAAGACATTGTGTTTGGCAGGCAGGTGCTTGTGGGGATATAAGTCCATGGGGATATAGCTCTTGCCATAAACAAAATGTCTTATTTCATAAACCTCAGTGTTCTCATATAAAAGGAGAATCTGTGAGGCAAGTTGTGAAAATCAAATTAGACTATATCAAGGTTCTTTTTAACCCCCCAAAACCTATTTAATAAATATATGAAATGATAGGTTTTCAGTAAGTACTTAGATGGATTAATTACTTGATCCCAGGTTTGTATAAAATCAGCTTGTGAGGCTGGAGAGGAGCAGACTGTCCTGCTCTACTCTCTGCATGCTGTACGTGGTCTAGGGAGAGAGGAGTAAGGCAGCCATTCCTTTACCCTGCCCCTTCACTCTGTGTGTAGGCCTTACTTCCCTGTTGTAACAGAGAAGAGGGCCTTAGAGTTTAAAGATGAGCTCCAATTATTTTTTTCATCTACTACATGCCTATTCGTCAGCTTTCTCCATTAAAAAATGCATCTAATTTTTTTAATATTCCAGTATCCATAGAGATCATGAGTAAGCCCACCAGGTCTGTTAACATTTTCCTTCCGTTCTCTCTCCTTCAAACATGTACTGATCTCCTATTATGTGCCAGGCATTATTCTAAGAACTGGAGCTACATTGGGGGGGGTTCCCATAATTTGGGGAGACCGTCAATAAACAAACAGAACACATCATATGGTAATAAGTTCTGTGGATAAAAATCAGGAGACAAGTTAGGGTCCTGTTGTTTGTTGCAGTTTTGAGGATCAAACCCAGCACTTTGCATTTGCTGGGCAAGCAGTCTACCACTGAGCTACATCCTCAGCCACTAAGGTCGCTGTGTTTTAAATAGGAGTTAGGGAAGGGCTCCATAAACAGGTACCTTTTGAACAAAGACCTAAAGGAGGAATTGCGCCACTAGCCTGTATCTGAGGAAAGACCTACCAAAACTTTTTCAGAAGAAAATACAGAAGAATGTCTGTGTGATCTCAAATATCTTACGTGAGGCAAAAGATATTCTTAAAAACAAAAAAAACATTACAATTACATGAAGCTTTTAATTTTATGTACAATAACAAGGTAAGCCACAGACTGGGAAAGGTATCTGCAACACCTTTGACAATTAATGTACAGAAACTGTAAAGAACTTCTGCCAATCAGCATATAATCAGTTTGCTTGTGTGTTTGTTTGTGGTACTGAGAATCAAATTCAGGGCCTCACGCTTGCCAGGCAGGTGCTGCACCACTGAGATACATCCCCAGCCCACAGATAATCAAAAAAGAAAAAAAGAGAGAGAAAAGAAAAATAGGCAAAAACTTTGAAACAGCTAGTTTATGAAAAGGAACACCAAACTGTCAGTAAACATATGAGAATTCCTTAACCTCACCAAGAACAACATGCAAATTAAGGAAATACAAATTTAAAATGTTGAGCCTTGCCAGGCCTGGTGGCACACGCCTATAATCCCAGCACTCAGGAGGCTGAGGCAGGAGGATCGTTGGGAGTTCGAGACCAGCCTGGGCTACAAAGTGAGCTCAAGGCCAGCGTGAACTACATAGCGAGACCCTGTCTCAAAAAGACACCCCCCCAAAAAAACGTTGAGCCTTTCTCTCCTGTCAGACAGAAATTTAAATCTGATAGTGAAAAGTCTATTAAGCTTTGTTGCTCTGCAGGTGGGATTGAAAATAGATATAACCTTTTTTGGAGAACAGTTTATTACTGTGCAATACAGTTTGACCAAGCAGTTGATGAAGCAGTTCCGTACATGCATACATGCATACACACTTTACGGCAGGGGAGCCACATCCTATTTCCCACCTGTGTTTGTAACGTTTTATTGAAACATAACCTCACCCATTCATTCATGTCTGCTTTCACCTGCAGGAGCTAAACTGAATAGTTGCCCCAGAGACTACCTGGCCTGCAAAGCCTGGAATATTTACTGTGACTCTTTGCATAAAAAATATGTAGATCCCTGCCTTGAGTAATTCTCACATGCATAATGGGGGATTTTTTTTTTTTATAACCTAGTTTATAATGGAAAAATTGGTCTGTGGACCTGTCTGTTAAGAAGAAAATAGATAAATAGAACTAGACAAACAGGGCCAGGCGTGGTGGCGCACACCTATAATCCCAGCACTCAGGAGGCTGAGGCAGGAGTTTGAGGCCAACCTGTGCTGCAGAGTGAGCTCAAGCCCAGCCTAAACTACATAACAAGACCATGTCTCAAAAAAAGAAAAAAAAAAACTGACAAATAATAGAATATTATATTCCAGTTAAAAGTGGATGAGGGCTGGGATGGAGCTTAGTGGAAGACCATTTGCTTCTCATATACAAGGCCCTGCATTCAACTCTCAGTGCTAAGCCAGGCATGGTGGTGCACGTCTGTAATTCCAGCACTTGGAAGGTTGAGACAGGAGGATTGTGGCCAGTTCACGCCAGCCTGGGCTACAAAGTGAGTTCAAGGCCAGCCTGAACTGCATAGCAGGGCCCTGTCTCAAAAAGACAAAAAAAAAAACAGTGCTACAAAAATCAAAAAGATAAGAATGAATATGAAAACTAGTGTTTAACACATAAGAAAAGACAGACACATACAATCGGATAATGTAGAGTATAATATCTATTTAAAAGTTTATTCATAGTTTTTAATCTAAAGCAACTGAAGATTTGACAAAACTGAGTTGGTAGTAGGTAGCTAGGCAGATATTTGGGCTTTTTACTCTGCACACATTTTTATATGGCTGAATTTTTCATTTACAAGGGATAGGGCACCAGGAAGACGGGCCTGAAAGCTCCTTTTCACATCAGTCACCACTGCTGCTTTACTGTGCACCTCGTGGGAGCCCAGAGCACTCACTGTGAGCACCCAACCCTGACTGGTAGATGTTCTGTGGAGCTCGTTATACTGAGTCCTGGCACGCACAGGCTCCTCAAGCTGATAGAAGTGGTTTTCTTCCTTCTGACAGGAAGTGTGCTTACTTGGTGTTTTCCTCAGTCTTTTTTCATCCAGAGCTAATTTATGAAGCTGCAGGGAGACCTGGTGCCATGGTAACCACAGCAGGAGATTTGAGGCTTTCACAGAAACTGTAAAGTGGGAGCGAAAGAAGAGGGGTTTCAGAAGTGTGGTTCTCTTGGGCCGGATGTGTGGCTGTGGTAGAGTGCTTTCCTAACATGTGTAGAGCCCTAGGTTCAATCTTCAGCACCATGAAAAAAAATATAGAGAGTTCACCCATATACACACTTCAGCAGTGTGCCGTACTAATAAATGTCTGGGAGCTAATGGCCACCACTTTGAGAACCTCTTGTAATTGTAGAGGCAAAGAAAACGTATTAATCTCATGAGAACTCTCTCTCTTTCTCTCTCTCTCTCTCTCTCTCTCTCTCTCTCTCTCTCTTTCTCTCTCTCTCTGTCTGTCTCTCTCTCTCTTGTTCTCTCGCTCTGTCTTTCATTCTCTCTCTCTTTGGTGTTTTGAGCCAAGGTTTCACTTTCTAGTGCAGGAATCTGGCATTGAACTCCCTATGTAGCCCAAGCTAGTCTCAGACTCTTGCAGGGGCAGGGATATAGCTCAGTGGCACAAGCTCCTACCTGGCAAGTACAAGGTCCTGAGTTCAATTCCTAGTACCCCCAAAAAATTTCTTTTGGTGATCCTCCTACCTCAGCCTCCCAAGTGCTGGAGTTACAGGCCTGCGTCACCACACCCAGCTCAATAAATTTAGTATGAAAGTATTTATACAAGTTTTTCTTTTCCTGATCTGTACATTTTTTTCAGTGGACTCAGTGGTCACTCTGTGATCTTGCACATAAAAGAGAATTCCCAAAATCATTTCTGAAAACACCAGCAGTGGTTTTATTAGTGGGAACCCAGAAACTAATATTCCCCGAAGGCTTGGTCTTGTGGTTCCCCAGCTCTAGCTGCTAGGCATTGGGTAAACTGACTGGTCATTGGTCTCATCCCCCTGAACAGGAAAGGACATATCTGGGATTGTTCTGAGAGATACACGAAAATATTTTACCAGCTTTATTTCAGTCATTTTTGGTGTCCATATTCCTGAAGTTGCTACTTCACCTTGACCTGTTAAGAACTCTTAGTCTCTTAATTCTTTTAGAGGGGACATTGTACAGTGTACTGTGTGTGCCAGGACAATGAACATGTCTCTGTGTCTTTGTCCCTAAATGAGATGTCCCTTTTGCTGGGTCTTAGAAAAAAGTCTGAAATCCAAGGCAGAAGTTCTTTTCTATAGACCAGTAATGCCAGACTTTCAGAGACAAGCACATAAACTGCCACCCAAACCCCACTTACTTACCGCAGACTGCCAATGCTGCAATTAAACCTGAATGCTGAGGTTTCAGTTTAGAAAAGGCAACTCTTACATTAACATCCTTTGTCTTTAAAAAAAAATGTGTGCTTCAAGTTTGCCAACCCTGCTTTAGAGCGTCCAATGGTAACAAACAGCTGGCTGCAGCATGCTTGCCGTCAATCACCATGACTGCTATAGACAGATCACACTAGATTATAGGTCTCGCAGAGGTTGGCCCAGCTTGTAAAGCTGTAATGGGGCAACCCACTTGAGACCCTTCCTGTCTCTCAGGAGCTATTCCTGGTCCCCAATAAATCTTGCCTACTCTTAAAAAAAAAAAAAGCTATAATGGTTGGAATGAAATTAAACAAAGAACCCTTCCCCTGGGCATGGTGACACATGCCTGTAATTCCAGCGCTTGAAAGGCTGAGGTGGAAGGACCACCGCAAGTTTGAGGCCAGCTTGGGCTACCTAGTGAGTTCAAGGCCAGTTGGAAGTGCACAGCAAAACTGTCTCAAAAAAAACAAACCCTTCTACACTAAGTCTTACACACCTTTGACACAAATATACAATGCAAAGCGTAAAAAAAATGCACACACAAATAGTGTAAGTAAACTGTTTTTACTTTTACAGTTACCTTAAAATGGTACAGTGCAACACCTGGCATCTAGGGGATTGCGCGGAGGGATCTGATGAGAAGAGAGTTTCTAACTGGAGGAGGGAGGGCAGGCGGAAGATGGTAGGGCGACGTCTACCATCTTTCTGCCTCGGTCCAGTCTTAGTTATTTCCACTGTCCTTTGCGTGGTTACTGCTTTGCGCTTCCTGCCAGTCCTCTCTGCGTCTCCACTGCTTTTCCTCTTGCTTCCAGACATGCTGGGCTCTGCTGTGCTGTTCTACACTGTCACACTGCAGTGAGCACACAGCAGCACAGCTGTGATAGTGTCTGGCAGACACGTGAGCTCCTTACATAATTGGTTTGCGTCTATGAATGCTCATAATTTGAGGTGTGCTGTATCTGAAAGTTCTCAAGTCTGGGATTTGCTGTAGTCCTGTCTTTGTATGTGTGTTACAGTCGATTTCCAGCAGGGGGCAGTCAAGTGTGGTGAGGAAGGGGTACTTATAGACACAGTAAGAGGCTGCGCTAAATCCCCGCCTCTGGCAAGAAGGAAAAATGAGGTTAGTGGAGCAGGATGAGGAAGGAAGCAAAGTTAGGACTTTGCTTAACTGAAGAAGCAGGCAGGAGCAGAGAAATATGACGTAGAAGAGAAGGTAAATTAGATCTGTGCAGGGGATATAAGTTCCTTTTACTTATGTAGCTAAGTTACCCTTCCCACAGTACCACCATCTGTGCGTGCCTGGGTGTTAGTTCCAGGGCTGGGATTTAATTGTGATACACTGGCATCAATTCAGGATGGTCTGCAGTGGGTCTAAATCACCCATTTCCCAAGGCCAGTCTTAGTGACGCAGTCTCTCAGTCACAACTCCGAAGTGTAGTAAGTGGGGAAATTCTCAGCATGACGAATGCTGATGTCATTTGAATTGGTCACTTTCCTTAGTTCCCTTCTGGGATTTCTACCCCCAAAAGACACAAGACTCATGCCCAGGACCATTTCTGGAAAATGAAGAATTGGGAGGGAAATAGTTTTTTGTCTGTAACTTCATTCTGACAAGAAATCCAGACTTTAAGCTTCTACTTCTTTTTCCTACCTTAAAATGTTTCCCTGAAGAAATCATTCACTGCGAGGCACACCTGTAACCCTAACTAATGAAAGACAGGGGCAAGAGGATTGTGCGTTCAAGCCCAGGATAGAGCACACAGTGAGACCCTGTCTTTTAAAAAATATATATATATATTCATGGTACAAGGGCTAGAACCTGGATTTGGAGTCAGGTGCCCTAAGTCCAAATTCTAGCTAGTGGCTTGTTGGGATCTAGGACAAGTCCTTAAACCTTGAGTCCCATTGTAAAGTAGGGAATGGTACCTCTCAGTAGATTTTTTTTTTTTTTTTTGGTCTTTTTGAGACAGGGACTCGCTATACAGTTCAGGATGGCCTTGAGCTCACTTTGTAGCCCAGGCTGGCCTCGAACTTACAATGATCCTCCTGTCTCAGCCTCCCGAGTGCTGGGATTACAGGCATGTGCTACCAAGCCTGGCTCAGATTATTTTGAAAATTAAATGAAAGAATAAGTAAACAAGTGCTTGTAAGCTATAAAGTGCAACAGAGAGAAGTAATGTTCACAGGCCTCACACAACCTAGCCCCATCGCCTCCCATTGTAAGAAATCACCTTGTGCCAAGACCTTAGGGACTTTGTCCTGAGTGTGCAGGTTTTAAAAGGTGGTTGTTATAATGGCACAATTTCACATTCACTGTGTTCTCTGGCTGCCACCCCGAACTCCTCACCAAGCGACCTACGTAGGCTGCCACTTGCCTAAGTGTCGATGGGCAAACCTAGCAGCAGTCGTTTTCTTCCTTCTGGGGCGGAGAATATCCTAACAGAAAGTTTCTTTTTCTTATCAGGTAAAGAGAGCTGCTTTGAGAGAATTGTGTCGAGGTTTGGAAAGAAAGTCACATATGTAGTGATTGGAGACGGGCGAGATGAAGAAATCGCAGCCAAGCAGGTAACAGTGGTGAAGAGAGTAGCCTGGGTAGCGTTGCAACAGGCAATTAAAAATGGTAGGGGCTGGGGATTTAGCTCAGCGGCAAAGCGCCTGCCTGGCAAGTACAAGGTCGTGAGTTCGGTTCCCGGTACCGGAGAAAAACCAAAAAAGAAAAAATGGTAGAAGTACAAAGACCTTAGCACTCCGTTAGACATTTGTAGTGTTTCCTTTTCTTCTCCTCTTCTGTTTTCCTTTAAAGAAAAAGATCACTCTTCTCTCCAAATGGAGTTTCTCTGTAAGTTGTTGGATCCTACTTTGAGCCCTGTTGTAGGCATTCCCCTCGTTAATCCTGAAACGGGCCCATGGTCATCGCATTGCCTTCTCAAGAACATCCTGCTTTACAGCAAAAAGGCAAATTATTCTGATTTTTCCAGGCTTCGGATTCTGGGGAGGAGCAAATACATAATCAGTTGGCAGTTGTTTTTGTAGGAAAATCCTTCCTGCTTTTGAGCCCTCATAACTTTGTTCTGATGGTAACACCATCACTCTACAGGTTCCAGCCCAGCTCATCCCTTTTTAATATAGGAAATAGTAGGTCAGAGACTGTTGGCATCTCGAAGCTGACGTCTGTGACCATGTACCGTAAAATACACCCACTGGAGCTTGGGGTGTAGCTCAGTGATAGAGCACTTGCCCAGAATGCATGAGGCTCTGGGCTCAATGCTCACCGCTGCCATAATAGTAAAGTAGGGGCTGGGGATTTAGCTCAGCGGCACAGCACCTGCCTGGCAAGCACAAGGTCATGAGTTCAGTTCCCGGTACCGGAAAAAAAAACAAAAAAAAAAAATCAAAAATAGTAGAGTAAAGTAGACTAATTAAAAAATTTCTTAACACTTTATCTGTTCAACCCCCTCCCTGTGAGAAAATCTTTCCTGCAGCCTGTCTGACAGGAAACTAGTTGCTGCATGAGCATACCCAAGGATGAAGATGCTAATTCACAGGCAGCCTGTTCCACCGTGAGGTTATGGGAGCTGCTAAGGTGTGACTCCTTCATTGAGCAAAAATGTCTCTCTCACATACTGGTCCTAGTCTGGCACTCCTGAGCATAAAAGGAAGTCCGCTTCCTCCTCTCTACATTATGGAAAAAAATGCATCCAGAGAACTATATTCTAGGACCTCAGTGTTCTGAGTAACTTAAACACCAGTTTGTTCAAGACAATAAAACCTGTAACTTCATGGAACATGGTTTGTAGCACTTGGTTTATCAAAGCTCTGCTTTGAATTGTGGCTTAGAACAAGCATAGCATTCTTAGCAGATTTTTGACCACATGATATGATAAAATTATTATTTCCCGGATCTGTATATTCTACATTTTGCAAATGGACAAGACTTAGACCCTGCCAGGTGTAGTGTAATCCCAACACTAAAAAGGCTGAGGCAGGAGAGTCTCTGTGAATTCAAGCTGGGCTGCATCATGAACTCGAGGTCAGCTTGAATTACAAAGCCAGACGCTGTCTCAAAAAAAAATGAGGGCCAGGGATATAGCTCACCGGCACAGCACCTGCCTAGCTGTGGGGCATCTCGCTGGTCTCTCGTTGTACCCCGGAGAGAAACAGCAGTGGGTATGAGAAAAATAAAGACAAAGAGTCGAGCTGGGTCAGGTGGAGTTACCTCTTACCTGATGGGAAGAAGACTGATTTCAACAGTAGGGGCATTTATTTTAAACTCCTGCAAAGTTAGTATCAGCAGAGGTGATGTTGCCTAGTGATTAATGACAGTAACTGTCCAGGCAGGATCCTTCTTTCAATACTGAGGTAGCTTGACTGCTTGCGGCACTCTGGCTCTGTCCTGCCATCTCCCATATGACCAATCTCCAGCTCCAGCAGCTCCCAACACCTAGCAAGTGTTAGGTCATGAGTTTGATTCCTGGTATCAAAAAATAAAATTTTAAAAAAAGATGTAGACCCTGTACTCTGAAAGTTACAGGAAATTTACTATCTACAAGACAGTGTAGTCTTCGGGTGTGTGGGGTGGGGGTATTTGGGGAGGTTGTCTTTTTGAGACAGAGTTTTGCTAGGCACTTCAGCCAGCCTTGAACTCACTTTGTAGTTGGCCTTGAACTCAAAGCAATTCTCAGCCTCCCAGCCTCCCCAGTGCTAGGATTACAGGCATATTGCTCGCTCGCTTGCTCGCTCGCTCTCTGTCTCTCTCTCTCTCTCTCTCTCTCTCTGTGTCTCTGTCTCTTTCTCTCTCTCACACACACACACACTATCCCCCACCCCCCCACCCCCAGCTAAGACAATGTAGTCTTATACTAATACTAATCTTCTAAAAGTGATCTTTCTTTTTCTTTAAATAAAAATGGGAGAAGGAAAGGAAACACTACAAATACACAATAGATTGCTAAGATTTTTATACTCATACTGTTTTTCTAACAAATTAGTGTTATTTGAAATTTCTTACCTAGTTTCTTATCTTGGCTATTTTATTTGATCCTGAAGACCCTGTGTATAGTTAGAACAGGTATATGTCAAAAGCACGGAGTTACCACTGAAGCCTGATAAAAATTTCTCACATTTGTAAAGCGTCCTGTTACGCACAAAGTCCTTGTGCGTATGCGTGACTCACATCACCCCTGTGACAGCACCGTGAGGCGGGTGGGAGTAGTTAGCAAGCACCTGGGACAGCAAGGGATGCGGAGGAGCATGAGCTTCTGCGTGAGCGGAGGCTTCGGAAACCGGTTGGGTTAACCTGCTGTCCTCCTCTCTTCCAGCACAACATGCCTTTCTGGAGGATCACAAACCACGGAGACCTAGTGTCCCTTCACCAGGCTTTGGAGCTTGATTTTCTCTAAGAACTGGAATACAGAGCCTTCCTCCTGAGCTCCTTTTCACTCTGAAGGGAGCCAGAGGCCCAGTCACCTGGGAACTTGGAACACTCTCCCTGCCCCTTCCTCCCTCCCTGTCTCCCTCCCCGCCCTCCCCACCTCCTTCTCCATGGAATGCTGGCGAGAACACAATCAGAACCAACAGCTACAACTTCTGCTAAGAGTGACCCGCGGCCCGGTGTTCATCCTTGTACAGATGCGGGGAACATTGGGATAGAGACAACAGTAGACTCACTGCAACTACAGTGCTTTTAATTCTTCTGTGTTTTGTTTCCAAAAAATGAAGAAAAAGAAAGGCAGTTCTTGGGGCCTAGTTGGACTGTTGGTCTCTGGCCAGTCTGTGCGCTCTCTTAACCGATGGTGAGAGGGGAGCTGCAGCAAGCAGCCTTTCATAAGAACGTCTCCTGTCTCCTGCAGTCTTTTAAGACCCTTAGCTACAGAACTTTTTCCCAGGAATGTGTATGTTATTTTTATAGGTAAGGGTCTGGTCTGTGAAGCAGGTTTTCCCCATTTCTCTGTTTCTAGCAAGAAAAGGGCATAGGAAGTTTCTGTGGAAATAGTAAATGAAATATTGGAAATACCTCTCTGTGGCCGCAGCACCTCTTTAGTTGCTCCAGTGGTCTGCTTTCTGGAATGTTCCCTTCTGCCGTGGGGCACTGGACACTGATGAACTTCAGGCTTTGGCAGTTCGCATCCTAGAAGCCTTAGTTCCCTTGCTAGTCCCTCTTCCCCTCTAACCACACGGCACCCCTGGAGACTCCTTCCTTTAAATCCTAAGCGTTCAGCGTGACTCTACATTCAGAGACTGTCCCAGGAGGCTTCACCTCCACACCGGGTAGAAGGGACTTGGGTTTCTTAGGAATTTCAGCTTCTTTGGCTTTCAGGTCAGGAGGGTTCCACCTGTTCCTCCTATAGAGAAGCACCTCCACCAGAAGCTCACCCTGCCTCCTCTGTCCTAGCAGATGCTGCCGTCTGACCTCACGTGCAGCCCTGGCCACGCCCTGCCCAAGGGGTCAGAATGAAGTCCAAGAACAGGCTTCTCACTGCTTCCTGTGAGGAAGCCCTTCAGCCACACGCGGGATAGCCCAGGCACCTCTTTACCCAGATCTCAGCCTGGAAGTGGAGTGCACATTGCTGTAATCAATACCCAGTTCCCCATAGAACACTGCACTCTTCAACTCCCATTTGGAAATGGGAAGGAGAGAAATCTTTCCTGATTTCAGTGAGGGCGCTGGCTGCCTTACTTTATGTCCCCTGGGAAGCTGAGTGGAGGCCTGGGCTGTAGTCGCAACCTTGTAGCCCAGCCCTGTGCTGGTTGCCTCATCTCTCCAGGACCAGCCCAGGCCCCTACTCAAGCAGGATAAAGCGCCCCAAGCTGAGGAGCTGTAGCTTTCCTGGCTCCACAGACAGGCTGCTGTGTAAGCGCCTCCCACATGCAGCCTTGGTCCTCAGCGAGAACAAGCTCTTTGACCAACCCCTGCTCTAACTGCTTATCCCCAGAGAGATGCTGCCCAGGGCAAGCCAGGTTGCCCATATCAGGAGAGGCCGCGCAGACACTCCTTTCAGAGCTGAAGGGAAAGTGCTTCGTGACTCAGTTTAAGAGGGGAGTTTTGGGAGAGGAGCTAGGTTGGCACGCATCACTCGGTCACCTCTCTGGCCGCATTTCCAGGTGAGGTGAGGGGGAAGGAGGAGTCCGAGTCAGACCTGCTGGGTCTGTGCAGCCCATGGTCCATCTTAGAAGCTCTGGGTGGATTTTACTTTCATGCCTCAGGTGCCCCCATTGCAGTATCACTATTTCTTGCCCTGGACAAAAGCCCCCTGTTGGTGCTGAGTGGGCTGTGGGCTTAGGAGGCTGCACGCTGGCACCCCACGCACGCATGCCACGCACACTTTCCCCACCTGCGGCAGGCTCTTTATTAGAATGACTCGGACTCCTGTTCAGTGGCCTTTTTCCTCTTGCCCTGACTTCTCAGCTTAGCTCTTTTTTTCAAAAGGGACTTGAACTTGGCGAGGAGCAGTGAGGGGGCTCTAAGAGCAGCCTGTGCTCCATCCCGGCAGCTGGCACCCTGGGTCAGGGCAGACAGCGGGAGCTTCCTGGCCCTGTCCAAGGGATCTGTCCAGGGAGCAAGCACCGCCCTTCTCACCACCTCCCTGGCACAGACACCAGGAAGGAAGAGGAGCGGAAAGCATCAAGAGCTGTTGGAAGCTGCGGCCAAGGGTACTGTGGGTCTTTTCAGCAAGAGGCCGCCCCTTTACTGGAACAAGTGCCTGTGAAACTGGCCAAGTGAGTCCTTCAGCCCCGCACCATGGTTCCTAAGGGTGGTCCGGACCTCTCGTGGCCAGGGCTGTCTGGTGGCTCTGGAGGTATCAGATGTGTCCTAGGGTAAGAGGTGGCTTGACTTTCGAATGTAAAATTGTGCCTTAGCATCACCCTGTTCTGTACCCCTGGGCAGCTGGTGGTGACCAGGAGAGAGGACGCCTCCTCTACACTTAGGTGCCTGTTGAGGCTTTTGTTGGGCGGGGGGAGGCCTATTTTCTGCTCTGCAAGTTGGGAGGCAAACCTGATATCCCAAAAGACTTGCTCTGATGTGTTTGCAGTTTACGCAAACTCAGCTTCACAGCTCCCGGTTAGAATCTCATTGGCCAAGTCCAGCTTGGAGCGCATGGAGTCCAGCGCATGGAGCTGGGACACTACCTTGAGTGGATGTCGGTGCCCCTGAACTGCAGCAGAGCACAGTGGCTTCCTCCTGTGGGAGAGCCGTGGTCCAGACAGGGAGTGAGAGCTGGGCCTTCCTCTTGCTCTGCACTCCCCAAGGAGGAGCAGTGAGCTCCTCCTGAGCACCTTGAAATACCTTAACCACAAGAGGGAAGACCCGGTTGTGTCCCCGCCCCACCAGCAGGCTGTCCTCCCTCCCCCAGCTCTGCGCCAGCTGTAGCAAGCAAGGTTCCTTAGCAAGTTCCTAATGCACTGACCGAGCCATCCCGGGAAGGACTTCTCCAGACATGACTCCCTCTGGACTTCAGATGCCTCTGTTGGCAGGGAAAGGCATTGACTGGGTTGGATCTATTTATGTGACTGCGGGCATTCGTGGCTGTAGAATCCTTGACCATAATGTTATATGTAATGGGAACTATCTTATAAACTTGAAAAAAATAAAATTTTTATTTTCTATACAGCTTTTTCCTGTTGTCTTTTCTGAATGGATCACCCCAGTTGCCCAACCCATGTAGGGTCCTAATCAGGGCTAAGGATTGTGTAGAGTTTTTAGAAAGATATTAACCCTTCAATAACTGGGTCATCAACTTCAAAAAAAGTAAAAGCTAGCCATTTGGTATAAATGGGAAAACGAAAGGAGTATGTTTAAATAATTTGCAAGGGAGCATTTATTTCTGAATTGTTTCTAAGAGACACTGCTTTTTAAGATTTAGAACTGGAATGAGATTTCATTTGCTGTCAAATGTGCTGAACTTTAATAAATGAGAAGTCAATGCTTGCTGGGCTTAAATCACGAAAGCAATAAAACTGACAAAGTGATACCAAACCTCTTTTGATTTGGCCTGATTTCACTGTCACATCAACTGCTCTGTATGAGGCAATGAAAATGAGACGGGATAATGCTTGCCACATTCTTTCCATGATGATTCAAGCCACCAATGGTGACCCCAGGCTCTGCTCCTTATCCCATTTGTAGGCCACAGGCCACAGTCTGCTGACGTGGCTCGCCGGCTCTCCCGCTGAGGCTGTTTCTCAGGGAGGCTTCCCTGTTGGCAATCCCGGCAAGAGAACACCTCCCTCTCGGCTTCCTAGCACATCACACACACTACCTGACATACTGACTCTTTACTTATCCTATTTACTGTCTCCACTGCAACAAATGACAGAACTACCGTGAATCCCATCAGTGGTGACTGAAACCTTTTCCTTCTCCAGCGCCCCATCCCTATTTTTTCTTCAAACCATACACCTCCCAAGCAGGGAGATTCACCCTTCCTGGAATTTCACCAGAATCCCGTACACCACCTTGCCACCAACTTCATAGAGCTCCTGACAGGCTATTATGGTTTGTGTCTAGATGTCCCCACACAGCCTCATGCACTCATAAGTGGAGCTTTGGGGAGCTGGATTGAAGGTGTGTGAATGTGGACTAAGAGCATGTAATGTGCATTAAGGTGTGATAACTGGGTTAGCACAGACTGGTTTAGGGTTGTTCTTGGTGTGGATAGTAAGACCCACCCTGGGGTTTGAGTGGCACCACCTAAAAGCCTTGTAGCCTGGATGGGATAAAAGGGAAAGGGAGACTTGCTTTGTTGCCGCTGCTGCTTGCTGCTTAACTGCCTCCCGCCTGCCATACTATGGACTGTTTTGTCCTCTACCAGGCCACCAGGCCTTGCAGCCAGCAGACTATGGACTGAAACCTCTGTAAACTGTGAACCAAAATAAACCTTTCCTTCTTTAATTTGTGGGGGTCAGGTATTTTGTCCCAGCAATGAGAAAAGTAAGACATCATTGTCCACCTGGTCTCTCACACTTCTTAGTCCCAGAGATGCTTATGGCTACCCCTGCCCGGCCCAGCAGCAGAGCTCGTAGCAAGAGAATGCACTGGAATCCACCTAGCACCTGCAACTTAGAAAACAAGGAGGAAAAGTCACACCCAAGGCAGCCTTCCCCCATGTCCCGCCACCAAGGCACAGCCTTCTTTATCTGCTCCAAAGGCCTTCACCAATTTCAAAGAATTTCATGTCCCTGCCTCTTCTCTCCAGGAGTGGTAGATTTTTTTTTTTTTTTAATGACACAGACTGGAGGATTTTGCGAGGTTTTAATAATAACCTTATAATACTATCAAACATGTACATGCGTCTTCACTTGCAGAGACATATTCCCTTCATCTGAATGGACTCTGAGGTAGAAGGTACACTGGCTAAAGAACAAAAATACTCAACAGGCTGTGCAAGGCCCAGACCACAGGTCCACAAGGCACTTGGTTGAAAGACAGCCCCTGGAGAACAGGGGCAGAGCCGGGCCAGCTGCACAGACACCCTGGAGGGACTGACAGGCTACCCAGAGTTGGGAGTCCTGGCCTCCAGCCTTTGCGCTCTACCCAGGATTGGTTCAACCAGGTAGGGAGCGAAGCTAGGGTGGCAGCTGGGTCCAAGGTTACAATACTCTTCATGGCACATAAAGTGCTTTCAGTAAACATTTGTTGAATAAATTAAATGAATGAGGTGGGGCAGGGAAGGGCTCTGGAGAACTCCTGGGGCCTTTTAGCCCAGGATAGAGGAAGCAAAAGGTGGGACAGCACTTCCACCTCTTGAGAGGTGGCAGAGTGGTGAAAATACCAACAAGGGCAAGTTCTGGGTGCACCAGCTCTACTGGTTGAGAAAGGTTCCCGTTCTGCCAACATGGCTTGTACATAACTGGCACCCCTGGCCCTCTAGTGCCAGCCCTTCTCATTTTGTTCACACGGTGAACCCCTTGTCACTGGGTCTGTGCTGCCTAAATGACCCCATTCACCTCTCCCTTCCTTGGCAAAACACCCTCCTCCTTAGCTTTAGGGAAAAAGTTCCTAGCCAACTGAGTCATGCGTCTGTTCCGAAGCTGCTGATAAGGTTCACACGGAAAGAGACTCCGGAATCCATCCACCCGGGTTCCAGCCACCGGATCAGGCTCCCAGCGGCAGCTAGGGTGCAGCCAGCGGTAGTAGCCCAGGCGCAAAGCCAGACCCCCAAGGAAGCAGACGCCTCCCACAGCCAGCCATATGTGTAACGAGATCTCAGTGGGCAGCCAGGGGCCATATATCACCCAGGTGGCCACCAGCAGAACACTGTCACTCAGGAGGAACAGCAGGTGGATGGTGGCCCGGCCACAAGTGTGGCCCTCAGACACGTTGAACCAGGAGAAATAGAGGATAGTGGCCACTGTCGCCCGGTACAGCCACTCGGAGCCAGGGTCTGGCATGAAGTCTGTCCGCTGAAGCCAGACCCAGAACAGCAGCACCAACCACAGGCCCAGGAAGTGCAAGGCCACATACTGAGGGAAGAGAGCTGAGAACAGGGCCACAGCGAGGAGTCGGGGACCCAGCAGCAGCAGGTTCCACAGGAAGTAGATGGCAGAAGCGGCCCAGCCCAGCCGGGGCTTGGAGGGAAGGCAGGTCCGCAGGGCCTGGTGATAGTCCAGCAGTGCCCACGAGATGCTCATGAAGGACGTGCCAACCCCAAACCCTACAAGGAGCAAGAGCAAAGAGATGAGACCTGTGGGCAGCCTGCCTGCCCCCCCCCCCCCCCCCGGGGCTCACTGGTACCTTCAGGGCCCTCTCAGCCGCCCTGAGGTAGGTATTAGAATCCCTGTTTGCAGCCGGCGATATAGCTCAGTGGCGTAAGCACCTGCCTGGCAAGCGCAAGGTTCTGAGTTCGATTCCCAGTACCAAAAAAAAAATAGAATCCCTGTTTGTGGAAGGGAAAATAGCAGCAAGAAAAGCTTCGTGAGGTCACACAATCTACTAAACGTGGAGCAAGGGGGGATTCAAGTACGGAGCCAGCCCTAACACACAACGCTTCACTTTCAGGTGCCACCCTGTGACATTTCTGAAGGATGAGGGTGTATGTTACTCATAAAGAGCCACCCGGCATTTGGCACCCCCAGCGAGGCTTTGGCTGCATCCTGAGCATCTCCTAGGGCCCCAGAAGAACCTAAGCCTTTCTTAGATCTGAAGATCACCAGAGCCCCAGCTCCCCGTTCCTCCTGGTCAGAAAAAGACCGGAGACCCCATGGGGTCCTGAGGGCTGGGAGAAACGGCCCCGGCTGTGACAGAAATCCTCCTCCTGCCCCTCCTCTCCCTGCCATGTGCAACCTGGGCCCAGGTCTTGATTTTCCAAGATCCAGAAGTTGCGGGGGGTCGTCCTTACCCTACCTCCTGACTGCTCACCCCCGACTAGGAGAACAGGGCCACAAGGAAGCACGGAAGCAGGACTGTCTGGAATGCTTCTTCTCCTCCGGCTCCCTTCCATCTCTCACTCAGCAGAGGTTAACTGGGAACCCACACCAGCCTGGTATCAGATCTGAGGCCATCACTCTAACTACCTCATTCTAGGTCAGACGTTCTTTCCAGTTGGCCCAGCATGCCGCATCCTCTGACCTTGCAAGCTCTACCCAGAGGCTTCCGTCCCACTTCCCAGGCCTGCTCCTCCTTGCCGGCCCCCAGCCCAAACATCCCCGGGGGTCACCTATCCTACCCCTCCCCAACGCTCTGCTATGTCAAGTGTCCCTGTAATACCCCACCCGCCTCTGCCTGGAGTCTCACCACACAGTGAAAGTACAGTGAGTATTTCCTTGCCTCTCAGCTCCTAGACAGTAGGAAACAGGTTCTGCTCATCTGGACGGCCCTGGCAGCCCAGTACCTGGCACATAATGAATATTTGCTAAATAAGCTGAGAAAAATTCGTTTCTTCCCACCGGGCATACATACAGTCTGTCTCCAAGTGGCCCTGGTCCTAGACACTTACCACCTTCAGACAAATGAGAATATGTCAATGCTGTGCTTGGAGGCACACTCCTGTAATCCCAGCACTCGGGAGGCTGAGGCAGGAGGGCTGCCATGAATTCAAGGCCAGCTTGCACTACATAATGAGACCCTGTCTCAAAACACCAAACACCAAACCAAAACAAACAAGATATGAGTGCTGAGTGGCCCAGGGCAAGTCCCTTCACATGTATGCACGTCTTTCCTCTTGTGTGAAGTAGAGATAGAACCCCTGGGTCATACTCTATGTGATGGCAGGTGAGGACTGGGTCCCCTGGGAGGCAGTGGCAGGTACCTTGAGGTGTGCAGGGATCCTGAAGGCCAAGAGAAGGCCCTGGACTCTAAATTGGATGTGAGATGAAGTCCTACCTTGGCCGCTGGCTGGCTGTGAGACAAGTCACTTTTGTTTTACGTGAAGCCCTTCCAAGGCTCCTCACTGTACAAACTTCCCCCATGGTTTATGAGGCTCTGCCAACCTCTGCCACTCCCGCTTCTGATCTCTCAGCACACTTAGTGTAACTACTTGTTTTACAATCTTATCATCCTGGCACGGCCGAGGCTCTGTGTATCTTGTTCCCTGCGGCGTGCACTCACACTGGTAGTACTCGGCCTGGCCGCTCTGCAGCACGATGGCCAGCAGCAGCGTGAGCTGTGGCGCCGTCTCCAAGAAGGTCTCAAAGAGCCGCAGCATGCTGATGTCCAGGGAGAGGAAGTCGGCGTAGGCCAAGTCGAACTCGGAGGGCTTCGCCTGCTGCCACACCAGCAGCCCCTGCCGCAGTCCCTGCAGGCACCTAGGCGCACACAAGTGCCCACAGGGCAGGGTCAGCGTCCTGTGCAGTCCCCAGGCTTCCACCCATGTGGTTTAGGACAGGCTCTGATCCTAGCTTGTCACATACATGCTAAGGGCCCCAGGCAAGCCAGTAACCTCTCTGAACCTGTTTCCTCACCTGTAAAACAGGAATACATGCAACTTCTACTGGGCACCCACTGTCCCAGGTCCATCACAAAGCTTGCTCTGTTTACTCCTCTGTAAATGGGCTAGGGCCCCATTTACAGAAGGGGAAAAGCATCAAGAAGGCAAAGGCACCCTGGAGAGCTTCTGAGCAAGGACCAGCCAGGGGCAGAGCGGGCGTCTGCCTGTGGAGCACGCAGGTGGGAGGGGGTCACTGGCGGTGGAGCGGAAGTGGGGATCACATGTAGCAGGCTGCTGAAAGACTGGGGAGAAAAGGTGAAAAGCCTGGTAGGGACAGAGACTGGCACAGACTTCAGGGAATCCAGAAAGAGGCCTTGGGAAGCGACTGGCTTGAGGGGGGGCATGGGATGGCACTGAGGTCTTCCCCACACAGAACTGATCTCACTGGGCCCATTCGCCCACTGCAGATCCATTCAGCGCACACGGACTGCTGCTGCCCCGCCTGATAATACTAAGGAGCAGGAGCTTCTGGGCCCCAGGGTCCCAAAAGGGCCCCCGCTTAGCCTCAGCATGGGCAGGAACAGGGAGCCCGTTTTCAAACTCAGTGTTAGCCAGAGACAGGCGACAGGAGGACGCAGGAGGGACTCAGCAGGGCGGGGCTGGAGGCCTGCCCTGACCCTCGGACCCACCCGGGGTTCACTGGTGTGGTAGGTCCCCCTCAAGCAAAACAGCAACATTCAAGGCTCCTCTCCCCCAGGCTGGAGACTCCAAACAGCTTTGTCAAGCTCTGGAGAGAACTCATAAAAATGGGTTCTGGAGCAGATTCTGCCTCCTGCCCCACCAACCCATCCCGCACATGACGTCCTCACTTTATCTCATGACTCTGACCCCATGGTTTCAGTTTCTCCACCTTTTTTTTTTTTTCCTACAGTAAAAAATAAATCACCATTAACCCTGCTCAAAATATCCCCCATCACTTCAACACACTTCAATGTCTCCATCTTGGTCGGACCCCGACAGTTCTGAAAAGCACGGGCCAAGACCTGTCTGTGTCTAACCCTGGCTGTGTCCAGCACCCACCTCTGCCCCCGTACTCGGTCTCAGGGTGGGAAGCAAAGGGCCGGGGAGAAGCAGGAAGCTGGGAAAGGGAGGGTAAGAGGGGCCAGGTGGGACGGCACAAGCCTGGAATTCCACCTACTCAGGAGGCCGAGGCAGGAAGATTGCAAGTTTGCCCAGTCTGGGCAACTTAACAAGATTCTGTCTCAATTAACAACTTAAATTAAATTAAACTAAATTAAGCTAAGCAAAAAAGGCCCTCTCCTTGGGTGGAATCCCTAGGAAAGGGAAGGAAGGGAAGGAGGGCGGGAAGGAGGGCGGGAAGGTGGCAGGGAGGGAGGGAACAAGCACTGCTCTGGGGGTGGAGTGGCTGGAACTCGCGGCGCTCCGGGTGGCATGAAGCTAGCTGGTGTTTGTCGAATGTCTGCTTTGTGCCAGGGCAATTACCAGGTGTCACTCTGTTTAATCCTCACAAAACAGAACTAGACACTACCACCACCCCCACGGGCACAACAAGGAAACTGAGGCCTGGGACGGTCAGCCCTTGCCCGAGACCCTCCCACGGCGGGAAGGACGGCGGCGCGGCGGGAGGGGCAGCCAGCCCGCCACGCCGCTCTCCGCGCTCTCCCGATCGATCGCCGCTTCCCAGAGGCGGGACCGAGGCTCAGAGAAAGTCACAGCGGGCGTCCCACTCCTCCGATCGCGGGGGAGTCGGTGTGGAAGCCCGAGAACGCCTTCGTGCCCCGCCCCCCCGTGCCTCCGTTTCCTCGCCTGGGCCGGAAGCGGGTGCCG